TTTGCCCGGCACCTCGAGCCTTCTCAGCTTCCGCAAATGGCAACCTGAGCCATCATCCCTATCTCACGAAATTCCAAGCCAATTGGACAGGATGCGGGGTGCCGCAGCATGGCGGAATGCCCCGAGTTCACGCCGCTGACACCTGGCCACCCGTCGATGCAGGTCACACCCCGTCTGTGTGCGATGGTCTCTTCAACCAACGCAGAAGTAACCAGCACACCCACAACAGTTGAGATCTTCTTCAGGTCATGCTTGCTCACTAGAAATCCGAAAAGGCTCAAATATGCGAATGGCAGCGTTCCGGTCTCGAATACAAAGAGAAAGGGATAACGGCCAGACAGGGAAAGAATGACAAACACCAAGCCGAATCTGGGATGATTTCCGGCGTAACGCTACAACGGCCCATCTCTTCCCACGGTCGCTGACGAAATCCTGGTGTTGGGCGGCGGGAACATGGGTCTAATCCCACTTGGCTGCACCTTGGGCTCGCCGCCTAACGACGACTCGAACAAAGCACTAATGCTGCATGTCACCAATTGCACCGGAGCTAATCTTTTGCAACCGCTGCGGTCCGTCAAGGTAGGACTGCGACTCGTACGACTTGCTGATCGAAATGAGAGCGCACAATCGCTGTCAGATTTACTTTGCTTTGGCAGGATATAGTTGTCTTCGGTCATGTTGGCTCCGGCGTGCCTTTCTCACGGAAGCCATTATCAAAGTTTCCCGGCTAGATTTTGCACGCCGGTTCGGCTCGAAAGGGCCCCAGATCCGGCCGGATAGTGGCCAGGCAATGCCGACGACACGGGTCGCTCAGTCCAGTTGCCCGTTCATCGCTTGCGATTGCTTCAGGACCGGCCCTGCATGGGGATTTTGCGTTCTGACAAAATTCCTGCTGCTGCCCGTCAGTTTTTCCGGCGACATTTCCACTCTAGAAACGAAACATCTTGCCGTCCAGCAGACGGCTCCTACTATCCGAAGAAAGAGTTGAGCTCAGCCGGTGATGGACGCCGCAAGCACCGAGTAGCCCCCAAGGTTGCAAACTACGCATGCGCCTATATGCAGGTTCTCCCAACAGGCGTCACACTTGGGTAGCCACTCAGACGTGCGGTTCATGACATACATCTGAAGCGCTGCGTTGTATCGCGGGCCAATTACGGCCAGACTGAGCTTCCTTGGGACGCTTCCCCCACCGAAGGTCTAGCACACGTGCTCTGGTAGAAGTAGAGCGCACCCATCACAAAACTCCGAGCCTCCAATCTTGCTGTCTGCGGAAACTCAAAAGGTGGGGTGCGCCAACGCATCACCTTCCGGTAGAAGTGCACCCTTCTCTTCAACTTCGGATGAACCCGGCTGATGACATGCTTCCCGTTCAAGAACATTCTGGTTGGGCCGCTTTCCCCGCATCAACCGCCCTCGAGCACTAGCCGTACAACGAGGGCTTGCGGTGCCTTGATGCAAGATGAGCTTGCCTCCTGCGAGCTGTATCGAATGAGACCTGACCTGGACTGGCTCTTTCAACGACAGTCCTTAGATTTGCTGGGAGTCAGGTGCTTTGTGAAATCAAACAGCAAGTTTCAAATTGTAGCTTGACCTGTGCAGTCCCGACGTGGTCTTGTATACTCACAGAGCAGTAAACGACGCTTGAAAGGCCGGGCTGGCCATACGGCGTCCACCCTCTAGCTAATCGAATACTGTTCGGTGCCCCCGCGGCAACCTCGTGAGAGCTCTCGCGTATGCAAGCGCGGCAACTCCATGCTTAGATATTATTTGCCTTGCAGCAAATAATTTTCCCACGTAAACGGTCGTTCGCTAGCCACTGTGTATGCCGTCATGCGAGCTGGAAGGTTGAGGAGCGTCGGGCTTGTAGCACCATCAGCTCGCGATGACCAGGAGCTCGGCATGGTGGACGTCAATCTCGTACTACCCAGAACGAATATTGCTATATGAAACCACAAAGCATATCTCACGTAAGAAAACGTAGAATCATGGGGATGGTGCGTATGGCTGCAAAAGATGGAGGTGGTATTTTTCAAGATGCCGACCTGCTTGACATACTCCGCAAAGGCTCTCGGACTTTAAGGTCATGATAAGATACAGTCAGAATCAAAAGGTAGGCATCCATCCCAACGCCGTAGAAACTTGCAAAGTTCGATTTCCTGTATATTGGGTCTACGGTCATCACTTCCTGGTCAGAGTCTCCCGCGGCCAAGCGTGAGATAGCTTGAGGTTCCGACCCTTGGTCTCTTGCTGTGGGATGTCTTTACATGATGGGACCGAGTGAGTCCTCTTACACGTCCGCATGTCTGGTCAAGCAAGGAACCGGAGGGAAGAGGTCATTGAGGAGAAGTCACGCGGTTTTCAAAAGTCTGTCGAGTGCTTCGATCTTGCACATCGTGTAGACATCAGAGCCTGTTGTTGATTTCGTTCATGTCTGGGTATGTGGTGATCTTTCACTCTTACACAAGTTCGGAGCACTTCAGCGTGCCTAGTGCCAGGAATTTAGTGAGCATACGTCAAAAAAAAAATGATATCATATCCAAATTCGTGGGCGAAGGGCAGCTTCCATATGCATACATATACCATATGAAAGTGCCCAATCGTTTTGAACAGACACAAATGTGAAGCAAAATTGGCGTACGGAGCATCAGTTGCCAGACAGAATTGCTTGAGGAATGTAATCGCCAGGCAAGAGTGCATCAATCACTTAGCGGGTGAGCGCTGATCTCTGGCAGCGCCCTCCCACGTCGCTATTCCTGGCTCTTCTGAGGTCATTCAGTGTTGAATAAGCCTTGAACGTCTGGAAAGAGATGCTGATGTGTATTCCAGATATGTGTTTCAGAAGGAGTAAATTCAAAGTACAGTGGTGAGGTCGCTAACAATAAAGTGAAGAGCTTGGTAACCAATAATACTATTGTTGAGCCGTCTCATGGACATCTGAGAGACTCCAGAATATTTATATAGATGGTTCTCCCGAGATTCTTGGGTCCCCGGCACAAGACGACCGACCTATGAAACCACGCGTCAGGCAATTGACTGTCGCATTAGCTGGCGTGGTATCATTCTCTCAGTAAGGTCTTGCAACTCCCAGGTTGATATAAGCTTCAGGTCTCTCCGTGAACAAAGTTTTGAAGATACCCGAAAACCAGTCTTTCTGTAGCTCAAAATACTTTGCTGGGGTAGACGACTTCATCTCATACAGATTTAGTTTCGTAAGACAACATGAAGGTTTGAAATGCGAATATCTTCGTAGTCATTGGAGGGGTTGTTCCTAATACCATCCATCATCTCTATCTTTAGCGCAGTCTGAGTATAGCACCATGATAAACGAAGGACACGAAGATATACCATGAATTTACATAGGAAGGTTCTGCATTTGATCGAGTTATCAACCGGTTTTCGTCTCAGGTTGGAGATGTGTCGATGAGCGAATTCCGTGGAAGAGCGTCACTATCGCTTCCTTGAAGGAAAACAATCTCAGTTTCGGAGTAGATGCCGACATATACATAGGCCTAGAGCATACTGGCAAGCGTGTTGGCCTAGTGTCTGGGCTCTGCGTTGCTCCGAGGCATGGCAGACTAACGAGTGTACAGAATGCCGCTATGAGTAGAGAACTGGCCGCTGAGAATTCAGAGCAGGCAGACCAATAACGTTCTTCGACTTGACCAGCTTGCCACAACGAAAGACACATTTGGCCAGCGCTGCGAGCGAGCCTTTGGCGTGAGCTTCAAGGCCCGGGAGTAACTTGGACGTGGAAGCCTGTCCCATAATTTTGGTCTGGGTGTATGCAGCGTAATGAACGAAGAGATACAAAGGTATGTTCACGATCCTTAACTCGGTTCTGCACAAGTTAGGTACAAAAGTTGACTGGGGACTGAGCCAGGCTCATCCTAATCCGCATCTACTATAGGGTCACTCGATTGGGGCCCGAGTCTGGGGGTGACGAAGATGATGAGATATATATGTAACTTATATCTATGCTATTTTTACAGTATTTTAGAGCTTATATAACGGTCTTCAACTCTTGAGCATCAAGCTAAGACTAAATAACATCGCCGTCATGAAGGTTCTTGCATATTGCATCCTGGATTTCCTCACGTCTGAGGAATAGTTCCTTCCAACTATGAACGCATTCCTGACGAGCACTATGTATTTTCTCAATTTGTGAGTGTATTTATACTTGAACAGAAGACGAATTGTGAGGACTGATGGAGATGAGAGAAGGCGGCAGTTGCTTAGCACAGTCCGGATTTCTCTGTCTATAAGCGGCAGAAATTTTATCACTTGCTACTTTCTCGATTCGTTTCGCAGGATTATGGACCAACAAGGCTGCTGAACTTATTGTTCGCAGAAACTTTCACATCCCCCCGGCATTTAATTGCCAGCTGTGATATACTTAGCGGCTCACCCAAAAGACCCAATAGAGATATTTCTACATCAAGGTCGTCAAACTAGAAGATCGACATATAAAGTACCATACTACAACGGAGAAAGACTCTAGAGGACAATGGCAAATAGTAGTATTTCGTCTCTTCTTACAGTAATCACCTTCATACGTACCAGGAGGCTAGATCAGGCAACCCAAGAGACATGAAGAGGGTTGCTTCTCCGCCTCTATCCTGCATCTACATGCCAAGTCCTTCAAGTATTCATTTCGAAGTAGTCGGCGAAGATCGATAAGTTCTGTCAAAAGCATGCAACACTCCAGGTGGCAGCATCCTGCTCATCAAAATTAACATGTCTCCTCGGCCACGAGATTCTATTTAAGCGTCATCTAACAGTTTCGATTACTAATTGAATACATTTCAAACATCAAGATCGACTCAAGATATGGGCGTCTTTGGATACGTGTGAGCCAAATTCTGTGCGATTTGTATATCTGGAGAAACCTCCTTGGTATTTGCCCTACTTAATACTACTGGTGATAGGGAACGCGGGATACGATTTACCAGCAATAGCATGGAGCTGTTGACATGATTCTTGCCTCCTAAAACTGGGTACGGTCAAGCACATTTCGATTCTGGCCCTCTCTCGATGCCGTCGGAACCGCGGGCGCCCTCAACTACCCCTTCCGTACCATTCTGCTCCGTCGCCTTCTTCCGCACATTCACCCAGCCCATACCCCAAGAAGCGGCAAACGACACCGCGCCGAGCGCCACCAACAAATAGAAGACGGCGTTGATGCTATCCGAGAACGCGAGCAGCAGTCCGTGGAGCTCCGGACTGCCAGGGGGCAGCAAGCCTCGCACGGCTTCCGCGCTTCCGCCCACCGCGAGCGCCGCCTCGGGGCTTACTGAAGGTGCCAAGATGGAGACTTGCCGAATAAGGGTCTGCGTGAAGATTGCATTGCCCACAACTGTGAAGACGGCCGATGCCAGATTCTCGACGAACAGCAAGAAGGCTATCGCGCTGGGGCTCTGGGCTGGCGTGACGGCGTTTTGGACTGAGATGACAGACTATACAACGAGTTGTTTTCCCCCGTCAGCAGTAGTCGATGACGCCCATGGCAGATAGCACTTCAAGGAAAAGATTTGATCAATTAAGGGGAAAGACGTACCATTTGTAGTCCTAACCCGCGCAGACCGAATAGTATTTGGTGACCGATCCAAGCTGCTGTCAACGTATTTGGATTCCATGCCGATATCAGACCGCAAGCGACTGTAGTTGTCGCTCCTGAAATAACGCTGAATGGGAGGTAGTAACCGATTCTTGTTACTAATGAAAGTCTCAAGTCAGCAAAAGGCTTACCCTTTCCGTCCTTCATCATTCAATATTCAAGAAGCAGGCGGACTCAACTTACCAAGGGCGCCAGAAATAACCAGAGACAGCAATTGCGTCAGAATCGAGGGCAGCATGTAGACACCGCTCAGCGAGGGGCCTACGCCCTTCACAGCCTGGAAGTAGATAGGGACGTAGTTGACTCCGACATAGTTCAAGGAGAATAGGGTGGTGCTCTGCATCGCGCTGGCCCATACCCGTCTCCTCTTGATGAGGTAAAATGGTATGAGGGACTTCTCGCCTACGTGCCATTCCCAGATGGAGAATATGACCAACGTAGCACCAGAAGCTGCGAACAAGCCGATGACGACGGGCGAGCTCCACCCGTGTTTGGTCGATCCCCAGTGCAGCGCGATGAGGAACATGACGGTCGTGGGGGCAAACAGCGCAAATCCTGTCAGGTCGAGTTCTGGGATGATGCGGCGTAGGAGGGCAAGCGAGAAGGGTGGCTTGAGCGTCTCTTCCGGGACGTGGGTGAAGAAGAGGAAGAGGCTGGAGACCACGCCGATGGGAAGGTTGATGTAGAAGCCTGCAGTTTGTCAGTTGTGAAGTTGAGAGTTGCGCAAAAATGCCGGGGTGATTGCAACTGCTTACACCATCGCCAGCTCGCGTATTGCGTCAAGGCACCACCGATGAGAGGCCCGAGGACTATGCCTGTCTGGCAGACTTGAGTCTGTTGTCAGCTGGCCCTCCGTTGTATTCCATCGTCCCTACTGACCTGCAAAGACTATGCCGTTGTAAACTACAAGTAGGAAGTGGAGGTGTTAGTTCCGATGCTTTAGGCACTTAGCTATACCGTCGGCAACTTACAAGGACGTTTGTGCAGAGGCACTGCTCCGGCGACGAGGTTTAGGGCACCGTTTTCCAACGCAGAGCTTCCCAGCCCGGCGATGGTACGGCCGAGGATGAAGAACATGGACGATGTCGAGACTGCGCAAAGCAAAGAGCCGATCTCAAAAATGAAGACGAAGAACAGAAATGTGTACTTCACGTTGAGGTAGGTGTAGAGTTTTCCGGTAAAGGGTTGCAAAGCCGCGCTGGTGGCCGGATTGGTTAGAACACATTCATTCTATGTAAGTTCTCTTTGCTATTGTTGTCTCGAGTGGGTGTCTGGAGGACCGAGGGAGGTGTAGTTACCTCGAAAGCACATAGGCACTTCCGTACCATCCGATACTGTTGAGTCTTAGAGTCAGCATGTGCATCGCTGTGAAAGTACGAATTCAAAAGAGAATGGAAATGAGCTATTGGTAGGGGATAAACGTACTCTTGCAACCGGTGAAAATCACTTGTGATGTACGGAATAGCCTGGGTTCGGGGGAGGCATCATAGTTAGTTGTCTGACCAGTATCGCTCAGTGATGCCCATTATCAGGAAATCATTATCAAAACCGGTTGTAGCATGACTCTGTAGTCTACCCGTACTCACCGTCGCAGTGATGCTGAAATCCAAGAGGACGAGGAAGAAGACAGACATAATGCCGAAGAGGGCAGCGTACATCCTGTATCCGCTGATGTACTCGTGGTCTTCCTTGCCAAAGTCGCCATTGACGGCAGGATTAGCAGCGGTTTCTGGTGACTCTGGGCCGATGCCGGTAGCAGTCGTCCCTTGGATTTCCTCTTCGGCGTCTCCATGCGCATTCTGAGCGTTGTTAGGGCCGGGGAGCCCCAAATTTGGTGCGGCCATGGTTATCTCTGCCGTCATTTCTGTCATCTCTGCTTGAAGCTGCTGTGGCTTCTCGTTTGAAACCTGCGCCGGTGAAGACGGTCCCATGTTCGACTCTGCGCGTGGTTTTGATTCTCCCACCATAATTGTCCGGTGCAAGAATCGTCGTTCTCAGTCTACGAGTCTCGAAAGTTCGCGTGCGACGCAAGTTAAGACGAACCTGTCGAGGTAAGTAAGCAGAATGGGTAGAGGTCACATCTAGTTGTGTGTGATGAGACTGTAGCCATTACTTACTTATAAGAGGTATGGAACAAGCAATGCATGTCCCGACACCCCGCTTCCAAGTTCGGAGCTAGTACTGCCAGTGTACTGGTTTGATAGTTTCTGTGAAAAAGAACCCTTGGTTACATGGACCTTTTGTAGTGCCATGTAGATGAAGCAGATGAGACTTGCTGATTGAGCCAAATTTTCTTGGCGAAGCCCTGATTGGATGCTCCCAAACAAGCACTCAACTGACGCTGACTGAGAATAGATATCAAGTCGATATTCACGATGGGTACTTCTCAAATCCATCAACATGGTCTGGAGTTGAATGCCACGTACTGAAGATGATCTGCGATGGGTCTTCAAGGGCCCTTCTTCTGAACCACTTGAGCCTAATTTGAACTCAGGGTATTTGAGATGAACGCATCAAATGGGTTCCCAGACCGTGGCTACATCTTGCGAGCGCCCATCCGTATCGTAGTGACAAAAAAGAGCACTTTAAGGCCAGCCATGTTGTTACAGAGAGGATACTTGAACGGAAAGGGAGACGACCATCGCTTTGCTTCATGTGAGTAACTGAGATCGGCTTGAGACCAGACAGACTCCGTCGGAGATGAGGATGGGATGGAGAATAGATCTCATCGACTACGCAAAGTATTTTAGAAAAGTCCAAGTACGATCCTGTGTGCCAAAGCTGTAAGCATGCATCAAAATGACGTCCTCTTATTCGTCCCTGGTCAGATGGTTTGTTCGCCGAAGGCGAGGGATCTGCGAATCTTTCAGGTACCTAGACGAAGGGTAGTGGTCGTCGGTTCGTAAGTAGGATTTCAATGAGTCTATAAATCAACTAAACCTCCCGGATATGTGCTTCAAACGCCGGAGAACAACCACAGACAGTATTTCCGTAGTTTCTTGGTTGATGCCGTTTCGACTGACGGCCTATACCAAGTTCAACTTCAAAGTGGATGCTCAACTTACTTAGGTTAGAAGCCCTCACAACGAAGCAAACTTCCAGAGTATTCAGCTGACTCTATACACACCATAACGAGAGACAACAGATATGATTTATCAGCAGCTTTAAGCAACTGTTGAGAGTACTTCCATGGCCCGAGGCTTGGCAAGATAAGCAGCTGCATCAGAAACCGACCCGGTTGCTGAGGCCAAAGATTCCTTGCAGTGTTGATCAAATCAATGCGAACCAGGCTCATGTAGAAGGAAAATTAAATCCACACACGAGATGAAGAAGCTTGCATCTCAGTCAACACAGTTCCCTTGGATGAAAACGGCCGGTAACTCTGCACCGGAAGGCCTTCAAAATGGGCTCGACCGACGCTTTTGATGCCGTGGCTGCCAGAGCCTATCAACAAGCTTCACGACAAACTGCCAGACCAGACCTCCAAAGACCAGGATATCTTTAACTTCATCATCAGTAGATCATATCGTCTCAAAACAAGTATATAAACGTTAGAACCCGCCATTTCGATAAATAACTCAACAATGGGAAGACCAGCAAAGGCATCTTTTGGAACGAAGCACCAGCCCCGCGGTAAGAAGTAACGAGTCCTCGGACGAGAGTGCTCTCTCAAGACCTCATAAATCAGATAACCTCCTCTGCCGTTTGCCCCTTGCGAATAAACGCCCAGAGTTGACGGGCGGCGGACATAATGCGTCCTTCGAAAGTTCGATCCAGAGTATGGGGTCGAAAAAAGTACCAATAGCGGCGGAACCGCTCTGCTCAGGCGTGGGTGCAACAAACAATCCTCAAGCAGTATCATTCTTGGCTGTGTTCTCACGTTTGGACATAGACTAGAGGGCATATTTGTTGACACGAAGCGGCTGAATTTCCCTTGAATACATTGCCTGTTGTGACACCAGATTTGTCACCATTATCCATACAGTGCTTCCTTCACAAGAGGACTTTGATCGAGTATATAACTTCACCTCCCAACTCGTCGAATAGGTCTCGCAAAACAAAAGATGTGTATGGCAAGCGGCGTCTGCAATCGTTGAAGTCTGGCACCGGCGAATCTCGAGAATAAGAAAGCCAGTGACCCCGTGGCAGACGCATGTCTCGCAGAGTCGCATATCATATCCTGTCCCGAGGGCTAGGTGATATGCCGGAACCACCTCATCGTCGACCAGCACTTCTGTCCTTGAGTTATTCGGTGGCTGCCCAGACTCTATTCGAACCACACCTATGCCGAGGCCGAGGATGATCATCATCAATGAGCATAACATAACCATTTTGCCGAGGATATGTCAGGCCAAGCTCAAGAAGACGGAGTGAGCCAGACATTTCACTCACCATCCATACTCACGACGCCATTTGGGTGCCAACATTGTTAGGAAGCTCGGTGAAGGTGCTTAAATACTACTACCCCGCGGGAGGTGATATTCGGCCTAACCGGTAGACATCACTTCAACCAACAGAATCCATGCCAACGATGTCACCATCGCGATTCGGAGACCACAGGCGTCATCACAGACTTCACACAGTAAAAAAACACAACGTCACCGGGATGTATCATCCAAGTTTGTTCAATTTGATCCAAATTCCCATATCCCAAAACAAAAACCCTAGTAGGTACAGCGTTCCTTACATGAACGACGAAACGAACCGAGCCACACGGGCTATCCGTGAGGAGGGGGCTCACTCTCGGATGCATCTAACCCAGGCGATGCACCATGTTGAAAGAGAAAATGTTCCTAAACCGGCATAACCCATGGTCCCTCCTATATTCCCAAAAAAGCCTCAAAAAGGGCATCAAATCATCTCCCCAATCCTAGGGGGAGGAATCATCGGCTTCTCTCGAATGCTCTATCTAAAGAACGCCGATGGATGAACTGAAAGAGAGAAAAATGTGCAAGAAATGCCCAGCAAAAATACTCCTGTCCCAATGCATGACGGACTCTCGTTTTTTTGCTTCGGAAAGAAAGTCATATCCACATGCGGCATCAAACAAAAGAGAGGCATACTTCATCATCTCGCGGTTGGGTCTACCAAAGACGTCCCGCAAGGCGCCTGCTCAGCTTCTTGCGCTGGTTGACCGGTTCGTTCTGACGCACATTCCTCCAGGGGCTGCGATCGCGGTCTTCCCAAGTTTGCATTTGCGCTGTGTGAACGAGTCAGTCATTTCCCTTTCTCTCTCACTTCTGTGGAATGCGCAAGGGGCTTACCAAGAAACCTGTTCCAACGGCGGTCCTCGTCCCACAGGATATCGTCTCCAGACTCCCTCGCGAGCCTCTCCCTCCTAGCCCGCGACGCCGCCTCCTCGCCGACCAGATACGGGTCCTCGAGCGGGCGAAAGTCCCTCGCGCGCTGCGCTGCCTCTTCCTCCGCCATGCGCTCTGACATGAAGCGCCGCAAGTGTGCGACAGGGTCGGCTCCGCCCTGGTTCATGCGCCTGCGGGCGACGTTGTTGAGGGTCGGGTTGGAGTGCACGGTGGACCATGTCGGGATGCGGAAGTTGTTGAGCTGGGGAACGACGGCCGACGCGGGCGGGATCGGGGGCAGGCCGGAGCGGGGCTGGGGGGTTGTGGTGCCAGAGCGGGTCGGGGCCGGGGCGGCGGGTAGCAGGGAGGTCGGGTATTGAGTGGAGCCGTTCGGGTTGGCGGCAGCGTTGTTCGCCGGGGGCGAGTATGCGGGTATCGGCTCCGGGTTGGGTGCAGTGGAGTGGTATGAAGGCGCGTCTGAGACTTTTCTTATTGTTAGTCTTTGGCTCTGGCGAATTTCCCATGGTGGGAAGGCAGGTGTCGTCGAGGTGAGGCTCAGGCGGGCATGTCAGGCGCTGCCGGGGCCATGGCCAGTGCAGAGGCTCCCGGCGTCCCGCTCTCGACCTCGTGAGGATGTTCTACTTACAGTAAGACGGTGCGGCGGAACGGATCGAGGCTGTTTCAAAGTCCTCAGAACTCAGCGCGTCGGCGCGCGTGGGGAAGAATCGTGGGTGTTCGGCGACGGCGGCGGCCATTTTGACGAACGACGGTTGGTGGGATGAGGTGCAAGTTGGGAAGCGCGTGGTCTCGACGAGTTCAGGTGTAGCCAGTCGAAGGTAGGATGCGAAAGGTGGAAGAGAAGATGGCGACCATCGGGCGGCAGAGGGAGAACCGGGCTCTCTTCAATAACGGTGAAGCGCAGCTCGAGCAGAGATGCGGCGGCGGGCAGTCTGATGTATGTTGGGGTGTGTGCGTGCGTGTGTATGTGCAGTGCGCAGAGATAACGAGGGCGAGAGGGTCGCAGAGAAGGTTGGGAAATGAGCGTTCTGGACGTAGATGACGCCTTCCAAGGCTCCAAGTTCTAAGACACGAGGGTCAGGGGAGAGGAATAAGAAGTCGGTCACGCACGAAGCGATGGAACAAGAAAACGAAGTGGACGCCGCCCACGGATAAAGCAGCCCAGCGATGGCTGCAAGCTTTCAGTCCGAGCCGGCGGGAACTGGGATGCCTCTGCCCGAAAGGTGGGTGCCCTTGGTGCGTGGTGTGTGGTGTACCGCCGTACGCAGCGAATGTGTGTGCGTGGATGGGGGAGGGGTGCGCGGTGTAGGAGTGGAAGCTTGCGTCTTGGCGCAGCAGTAGCTTCGAGGCTCCTCGTATGTATCTTTGAGTAGATTTTGGGGATGGACAAGACCTTCTGTGGTTGTGTAGAGGAGGTGCGGGACACGTGAGAAGGGACCAGAACAAACGGCGAGACCAACGACAGGAAGGCAAGGCCGGACGGAAGCAGGGTTCTGGGTTGATGTGGTTTGGATGTGTTTCTGTGGTGGTTTGGCAGGGCAGGACGATGCAGGTCAGATGTACAGTTTTCCTGTTTGAGAAGCAGAGGGAGGGGTGAGGGGTCGAGGCAGTGGAAGGGGGAAGTAGAAGAGGATGGATGGCATGCAGGTTGGGCGTGGAAGGTCCCCTTATACTAGATCAGGATAGGGAGGTAGAGGATGAGGAGGACCAGATCAATAAGCAAGGCAACAAGAGAAAGAAATTCGCAGCGTTGATATGTTAGCTGCTGGCCACGATAGACATGGTTGAACCGGGGCCGCGGATAAGAAAGGGGAAGCAGGCACCACGAAGCACGATGGGTAGACTGGAGACAAGACGGGAAGCAGCATCAGCATCAGCAATGCAGGCTGGAGAGGCCGAGTAAGTGGAGGCACTGGAGGCAGTGGAGGATAGCACCAATTGGCCCACGGGGGCGTCGTGTTCCTGGCGCAGACGTGCCGGTGCCCAGCATTGGCTGACGACGATGGAGAAGCTGTCAGTTTAGCCATGGGCAGCGCCCCATTTTGGATTCTGGGGGGCGTGGAACAAGTGGAGGACGGTGGATGGAGAGGTGGATGACAGACGGGGAGAGAACTACTCGGTGAAGCGAACGGGTCGGGCTTGGGCTTGGTGAGGATGATGAAGCGAAGGGCGAATGTGGGAGTGAACGACAGGTACGATGCATATAGCCTGGTCCGTTAAAGAGTCCAATCCCCATCAGCAGCCGCGGGAAGGCACCAGCAGCAGCAGTAGAGGGGGAGCATGAGTGACATTCCGAGGTTGAGGGTGAGGTGGAGAGTTGCGGCGCACTTGCAGCATTCTGGACGTTCACTACATAATACACTAAGACTGAAATAGCAAACCACGAATAGAAAGCGGGAATAAATGGCAACCGGAGAAAGTCCCGGTTTGGTTGTTGACTCTTGACGAGCAGACAGGCACAGGAAAGCAAAGCAAAGCAATGATAAGAGGAGAGGGGAAAAGAAGAAGCAAGTGTCAGCCAGGCGCGGGGTCGTCGCCCATGGAAAGGCCCACTTCGCTGTACTTAGTAGGTACCTACCTTACTTGACTTGACTTGACCCGACTTGTTGGCCGCGCTCAGCACAGCCCAGCCCAAGTCCAGGCCAGGCCACCCATCGAAAGTGCTCTTGCTGCAGCTGGAATTAATTAGCACAGCGCCGTCTTGGTCTTGCCCGTCGCTGAACTGAAAGGAAGAAGCACGCCCAAAGGTGCAACCTGTCGTTCCCGTCCCCACCAACGCCGACGCCGCCCGAAGCCCCCGAGAGCTGTCAAAAACACCTCATCCCGTCATGTCTGTCTTTGCTTGTTTAGTAGTGCTAGTAGCATCATCCCGGTGAGGCTTTTGCGGCATATTGTTTGGCGAGGAATAACGTTTGGGCGAGGCGCTGCGCACAGGCTGGTTCACATACGCGCCTGTCCTACAGAAACAACAACAGGAACACGGGAGGAGAGGATAGATACTGTGGTGGTTGATGTTAAGGCGGTCAGCAACGTACCTTACCGCAGCACGGCAAGACAGACAGAGGGTACAAGTCATACATGGAAATGTTTTGTTTCCAGTTCTTGGTGGCCTCTCGTCCACTCGCCGGGTGTGCTGAGCTGCCTCTGGGGTCTTGGCAGGGAAACGCCGCGGCCTGTGAAGGGACCCCAATTCTATGGGTCTCGGCGGCTTTTGTACCGCTTTGTATCTCAGGTATTCGTACTCCCCTTCCAGAACACTCAACCACTTCCATTCTCGCTCTTGACTGCCCATAGCGAGGGGATGAGCGATAGCGGGGGGCTTGGGGGGTTACACCTCGGGCCAATCCACCCGCCAGCCATCTGCGAGCACGACAGGGATCGGGGGACTTGGATGAGGACGGCCACCAAGAGGGACTGTGCCTTCTTTGCACCAAGCATTTGCAGCGGAACATGGTCCGGAGGCGAGGGGGAAAACACATGTAACGTAAGGTGGTAGATGCACAACTGGCAATGGTAATCACAATGCTGAACCTGAGAGCACCATGCCCACGTCTTCGATAGCATGGACGCCAGAATGTGATGAGACGGCGCCAGAATGAGGTGCTTGCCGTGTGCTTGTGCAGTGCCCAGCGCGGCACGATACGGAACACCCGCTGAACCCCCCGCCTTTCCCAGTCAAGGAACCCCACCACGGCGCCTTGCAATCAACCTTAGTGAACTTGCCCTTTTCTCGGAGAAACATGTTACAACTTGTGGATGACGGGCAAACCACGCGTCTCAAACCAAACCGTGGGCCAAACAGATCCGAAGACCGACCTACCATCGATACTCTATGGAGAGACAGAGACATGATGCGTTGTATGAGAGGTCTGAGCCAAGATTGCTAACTGGAGCTACGTGTGAACCCGCCCTAATCCACTATGACGAACAATCCTCCCCGGCCCAGCCCTACACCGGCAATCCCAAAACCTGCTTGTCCTGCCTCTCATTTTCCGAGGGATCGACTTTCCCGTCGCGTTGTTTGATGCGATGTACATGTTTGCTGTCGCTGCCATTCTGTTACCGTATTTGGCTTCAGGTTATCCCCTGACTGTGGATTAGGATGATGCTGCCGTGCAGAAGGGACAAGAACACTTGTGTACTCCGGGCATACTAAGGTACTCCAAACAAAGTTAAGTAAGCATCACATTCGCGGCCACAGCTGGATGTCCCCTGAGCTAGACACACATCACCAAATGCCACCACAGCGTGGTATCATTATCTCTCGGATGCTACATCATGGAAAGATAGAAAACAAAAGGTGGCTTGGCCGGGCCCCGAATGTGGCACACGAGCACACGAGCACAAGACCAACGCAACTTCCATTCCCTCACAAGACCCAAGCCTCACACACCTCATTCACAGTGTTATCCCCAAATGGACAGGGCCTGGGCTGTTCGGCACATGCACCACGGAGGATTTCTCCAACTGATCATCGGCCGGCACGGTCGTTCGTCCCTCCTCTCTTTCCCTCCATTTTAGGTGTTTTTTTCGGTCTACTGCCGTATGAACCGCCAAAATAAATACATCCAGATCGGCGCTGCCAAGATTTACTGGACAACAGCCGCTGGGCGATCGATCTGTATGCCGGTTTCTGCGAGGGGGGCGTACTTCTATGATGACCTTTCAACGACTTCCATTCCTGGCTGTGGAGGATTTTGCATCGCGGGCTCGGAGGATTTTGGTTTCTCTCTCATTGCAGTCAATATCTTGTTTCTTGTCATGGTATCGTACTGCATAAAGAGAGACAACGGCATCTTTGCAGAGACGACCCGCAGCTCTCAACCGGGCTCCCGGTCGCGAAAGTGTCAGCATGTCGTCAACTTCTCCATACTCGGCACCCGTCATCCGCACGAAGCTCCATCAAACACCCCTAGAGCCCCTCCCTTTCCCATGGGTTCGCGGGGGGCAACCGCGACATGTCAACATGCAACATGACATATTGACAGACAATGACAACAACCACGAACGCTTGTTTAGGCAGAGAGGCTCTGGCGGCTGGCCGTTGGATCCCTAGCTTGAGACACCTCACGAGCTCGGACACCGATCCGACCTGCCCATTATTTTCGTCCGAATATCTGCGGCCTACCGAAAGGTAAACCCTGCCTCTAGGTAAAGATCAGACTGAAACAAGCGGCTACTAGTCCCGAGCAAAGTGCGTCATCTGGCCCATGTGGACGAAACGCAGCTTGAGCTTGTTTATACTACGCTCACAGGCGTAACTGGAGCCGACGACGTAACTCGAGCTTGCACAGCTGTGGCTGGGCATAGTGTTGAAAGTAATGGCAGGCCAAAACCGGTGATAGCACCTCTGTAACATGCTCTAGTAACAGATATACATGGCCTCGAAAGCATTCATGGTACTGTCGCCCCACGACTCGGCCGTCCATTTGAACGAATCCGCCGCCTGCTGGTCGACGTCGACGTTCACCTTCAACCCGTTCTTGTTGCTGGCGTCCAACCCCGTGAAGCCCGCGATGACGGTGCCGAACCCAACACCGACATTGTGCGTCTGGGACTTCGTCTTCCAGTTGCCGCCCTCGAGCGCGTTGGCCGAGATGGTTCCGACACGCACCCCAGGGCTTCGCGTCTTGTCGACGGCGATGAAGGAGCCAGAGGCCCACGCCAGCCGGGAATATCCGTACGAGGAGATGATGAGCTCGAAGGTCGTGTTCGTCACCTGGCCCAGGCGGACGCGTAGGTTGAAGTTGTCGTCGGTGGTGCGGTGCACGAACCCGGACAGCCAGACGCACACGGTGGGCGGCTGACGGAATATCGGCGGCCGGGGGCGCCCGCCGTTGTCTGAGTCTTGAAACTTGACCACCTTGCGGAAACCCGTCGAAGTCACGGCGCCGGAGAACCAGTTGCCGACCAATACACCGGTTTGCGTGGGCGGCGGCGGGAAGTACCAGGACAGCCCGCCGCCCTGCAGGTCGGCGCTGTTGTCGCCGTCCTTGTTGAGCGTGATGGGGAACTTGTGGTGCTTGTCGGGGAGCTCGGCGTACGCGGTGACGCCGGTGTGCTGGCCCTGCGCGATGTTCAGGCGTTTGAGGCCGACGACCACTCGCTGGTCCACGTCTTCGACGTTCGTGTTGAGGAACACCGTGCCCGTGTTATGAGAGTGGCCGCTGCCGTCCTGGGAAGTGGCCCACGTATCCCATACGTTGGCGCCGTCTTGGAAAGCGTCGATGTCGGATGCGGTGCCGTATGCGGTCGTGTCTTTCAGTTCGCCTGCCCAGGCGTGGTCCTGTGTGACGAAGCGTCCGACGGTTCGGCCGAGCTGTGTGTATTCGACGGTGAGAGGGCTCTTGATGATATTGTGAGTTCGACTTGATCATACTGCGGGGGGCCTTCAGCTTCCAACATACCAGCTTGGTTGGCTTTGTGATTTTGCCGACGAGTCTGACGCCAACCTGTGGGCGATCGTTGTAATAGAAGAACGTTCCGCTGAAGGGACGATCAGCAAGGCTCACTATGTATCAATCTTGCAGACCTCTCACCGAAGGAATTGACGTTGCCACCACATGAAGAAAAGTCTGCCTCCGACTTCGAGCTTGAGCTTCTTGCGCAAGCCAGGAACTTCGACCTGATATGGTGAGCGAATGGTGAATACGTATAACAACAACACAGGTGTTTGTACCTCCAGGTCCCAAGAAAACAATCCGGGATTCAAGTGTGCGGAACACCGAATGGCAGTGTTGAACACAGCCATCTCCTTGATCTCGTCTTCTGATAGGAGTCGTCCACCGAGGTCGAGGGGCTTGGTGTCGGCAGGTGTTTCGGTCGAGATACCGGGTGATGAGGTCGAGAGGTCAGCTGTGTCGCCATTGATATCTTGAGATGCAATATCGGCATGGTTCGCCGGGGCAGCCTGCTGAGGGGGAGCGATTTCTGCCATTCTGATGTGATTGAGGATGCGGCTTTGCGATGTCTTGAAATGACCTGGGAATGATGAAGATCAACTTAGTTCGACACCGCGTCACCGTCCTTTTATCTTCATCATGTGTCTTCTCCGCGCGCAGCTCGGCGACATTAAAACACTAGGCAGCTTCTCATGAACGCTTGAGACACGGCGTCACCGTAGACAATAGTGTTGTTAACTGCCGATAGGGCCGCTCGTTTCCATTTAGACGCCAGATACGGCTCGAATCTATTTCTGGTTGAAATGTGTTCAGCTATTCATCAGCCGGGTGGGTAATATATCAGCGTCATATCGGCAAGCCCGTCGGCATGCTGGGCAAAATTGTAAATCGTGGCGTTGAAGTGTTGAGCTGAGAGCCTCAGCTGAGTCTCTCAGCTGAGAGAAGCTTGCGGTGCATATTGACGGTCCTAGTGTCTGTAAGGAGGCTATGAACGACTTTGATTAGCTTCAGCTCACATCTTCCGTCTCAGCCTATACTTTCAGCTTCACTTCGGCTTGTAACTCTCCTGTAAAGCATTAAACCTTGGATTGGGTTGGTTGGCTGTCGTATACGAGATTGTAAGTCGAATCTCTAACACTGTTGCTGTTGGGTATGGCTGATGTCTATGACATGAGCTCAGCAAAGGTTTTCCACTAACAACCTATCCTCCAAATCTGACGAAGAATGCGGTTGTAATTCAAGGCAGCGATTGTATATAAAGTACAACGAAACTGCCTTGTACCCTCTTACAAAGTGGACGCTGAAACTTCCTCCAACATAAAGTACATCGATCATCTCTTTTTGCTTTGGATTCACTCCAAACTACCTTTCACCCTGACATTTATCCATTCAGTTCTCAACTCCCATAACAATAGCCATGGAGAACCGCCGTCTGGGTTACTACGTGCAGTCCCACACGTACGACCGTGATCCCAGGCGATGGCTATCAATGCTCCCGCTCGGCAAGCCTAGCCGACACACTTCTCACATCATCATATCCGCCTTCCATCTGAACTATACCAAGGACGACGGCGCCGGCAACCACAAGATATACCTCAACGACGAGATCTACGACCAAGGCGACAACGTCAGAGTGTGGGAAGAAGCCGCCGAGCTGCAGCAAAAGGGCATTCTCGTCTTTGGGCTGCTGGGCGGCGGCGGGATCTGGGAAGCGACTGGCCTCGGCGGCGGCGATGCCGATTTCGACAAGGGCTACAAGCTCATCAAGGACATGATCGCGGCCAAGAAGCTTGACGGCGCCGACCTCAACGTTGAGCCCCACAATCCCATCGGCGTGCAGGACATCGGCAACGAGGGTGTGACGAAGGTGATCAAGAGACTCAAGGCTGACTTTCCGCATTTGCTCATCACTATGGCTCCCGGCGGCGGCGAACTGTTGAGCCCCGGGGGACTGTCTGGGGTCAATTATCAGACACTGTTCCGAGAGGAGGGTATGCACGATGCTATATCGTGGTTCAACGTGCAGCTGTACAACAACTGGGGAACGCTGGATGTGGATGAGTTCAGCAGCTATGTGGCCGCCGGCTTCCCGGCAAACAAGCTCGTTCTGAACTTGGTGGGGAACCCCGACCCGGAAGAAGCTGCCGATGGCTGGATTGACGGACCGACCATCAAGACGGGTGTCGAGGCGATCATGAAGAAGTACCCGGACATGGGCGGCATCGATTGCTGGGATTGGTATAACGCCACTCTCGATGGTAAGGAGCCCGTTGAGCATCCCGAGGCTTGGTCTGATTTTGTGAGCGATGTTCTCTTCCCCGACGGCCACCACAACAGTGCCTCGTGAGTGTTCGTCATGCGTGCGGGGGATGGGAGGTCGGTGATCCGACATGGCCAGGAAGTTGGGTGGAAGCTCGACGTCAAGATTCGATCGGAACCCATCGGAACTCAAGACATTGGCTGTCGTTGGTAGTCATCACAATCATAGAATAATTAGATCGCAGGGCTTTGAAACTGTTAAGGATTGAATGCATCTCTCACAAACGCCAGTGCTGGTAGCATGGTATTATTGACTTCGCTGGAGCGGGCATGACGTCCTCGGTCCCCATCTCGACATCTCGATTTGCTAGTAACAATCAGGATTGCATCTTTAGTCCCATCTACCCCAGACAGCAGGGCACTAAACAAGGCGGCAGCGGCGGCTCAAGCAAATAGAAACCGCTAAGTCCTACCTGCTAGCCAAGAGCTAAGACGACGTGCAGTCCCAGCCTTAGTTAGCACCACCACTATCACCTTCACCCCCCACCCCTTAAATGCTTTAGTCGTCCTTCTTCCCAACCGTGCCGCCCTTCCTCAGCCCCCAGAACGCAATGACGACGACGGCCACCGTAGCCGCGAAGATGGCCCAGAACCCGGCGCGGTAGCCGGCCATGCGCGCTTCTCTCTCGCCGGGGGCGGTCGAGTGCTCCGTCACCGAGGACGCGATAGCCGCCGTCACGGCCAGGCCCACCGCGTTGCCGATCTGGCCGACCTCGGCGAAGACGCCGCCGGCGAGGGATTGGAGGTCTGCCGGGAAGGCGTCGGAGATGATGAGATTCGAGACGGTGAAGAGGGCTATTATTATAGCGAGTTACGTCAGTCTCGTGATTACTTCTAAAGAGCACAGAGGAGACAAAAAGGGGAGCTATACCGTCTGCACTGACTGGCGATAGGGCGAGGGCCCAGAAGGGCGCGTACCAGTAGTAGCCATCGATTCTGACCATGGCCATCGCGAGGGGCGCGGCGATGGTGATGAGGGCGGAGACGCCGGCTAGGGATTGTACTTTAACTCTAGAGACGAGGTATGCGCACGCCATGTTCACGATTGTGCCTGTGATGATGTGCGGGAGGAAGCGGAGAGAACTTTGGAGAGCGGATACATGTTGGACTTCTTGGAAACTAGAAGGACGAATAAGTCTTTGCGTTCTTACTTTGAGACTGTTTTTGACTCACAATAACATGATGAAGTACTGAATCGAATTCAGTGCGGCCCAACTGAGAAAGATGGATACCTGTTCGGTGTAAGATGCAATGTTGAGTGTGTGATCAGAAAAGCCGACTTACACAGATGGATGTGAAGGCTGCATTTCGCCACAAACGGTTCGGAATGAGCGCCGGTCGATTCTTTTTGACTTGGAAGTCCATCCAAATTGGAAAGGCAACCAATAAAACGACAGCTACGACAAGAAGAGCGATGTTGGAGGCGTCGCTAAGTCTCGTGTAAGACGAGGTTGTCATTGCCAGAACATATAGCAGCAGACCCAAAGCGACGCTCACGATGACAGCCCCGATCCAGTCGATGTCCTCGGCGAGACGGCGAGTCCACGTCTTCTCAGACTGTCGATGCACAGATGGAAGAGACCAGATTGCCGCTGTTGAGAGGCAAACGTTTATCAGGGCCATTATGTAGTACCCCCACCGCCATCCGATGGTGTCTGCGACAATTCCACCGACGACTAGACCAAGCGCGTAGCCCAAAGGGAATCCGATGCCGTTCATGGAGAAGGCGACGTTACGCCAGTTCCCCTTGGGAAAGGTGCTCGTGATGAAGCTCATGGCGGTTGGGAGGCACATTGAGATTGAGATTCCCAGCACCGTGCGGAAGAGGATGAGCTGGATACCGGTCCTGGCCAGGCCGACGGCTACCGTAAAGATGGCGTAGAGAAAGCTGCCCGTCAGCCACATCAGTTTCGCGCCGACGACATCGGCGACGGCGCCGAAGATGAGGAGGAGGCAGCCTGCTGCCAGGGAGTAGACCGCGGCTGGCCATAGCGAGAGGCCATCGGCGAGGCCCACATCCGCAGCGATTCGTGGGAGGGCAGCGATGAGGATGCCTGATCCCATCGTATTGAGGAAGTTGACGCCTGCGAGTGTGACGATGACAGTGACGCCTTTTGCTTTGGAGACATTTCTGGAGGGGTTGCCAGTTGGGTTCTCGGTGTCTGTTGTAGGTTGCGTATGGATGATGTCCTGCTGGTCTAGAGACTTTGGTGTTTGGCTGCGTTTACTCTTTGAAGGCTTCAGAGATTGCATCTCGATGGTCGACGCCGCTTGACTTGGGGCATCCTGGACCAATAGGGCCTCTGGCATTGCCTCTTTGAGACCAATCATTGTGTACAATCAGTGAGAGGGTTGGACGAGAAACACTGGAAGCTTATGCACCACGAAGTTATGGTTAATGAATATATCGTCAGCACGGCTCTCCAAAAACGTCGCATTTGCACTTGCAAGGGCGTGCAAGAATCAGGTGATTGGGACAACCTGGGCCAATCACTCGCAACTTTTGCAAGAAAGCTCCAGGATTACCAATCAACCGAGATTCACATTAACAAATGAACGAGTAGATACGAAAGTCCCCAGGGAAACGCGGGCATAACGAAGCTGACGCCATCGTTCAAACCCATCCGGTGAGAGTGAATAGGTACACCTATCCCACGGTGTTAAAGGTTAGCGTAGTACTTGCGGGGCTTCGTTATATGGAAAGCCCCGCAAGAACCGCACTAACCTTTAAGACCGTGGGATAGGTGTATGGACGGTCAACCTGAGGCGTGCCGCAACATTCGCTCCACCAATCTGGAATTGGAGATATTTCCGGGTTGGGAAGTCCCACAAGCTCGGACCAGGTGTGCTTACGTACCTAGAGAGGACCGGGGCAGATGAGCACGTGGTCCCGCGTACAGTGCGCCACGCTCGACGCGCTGGCGGGGGTGGGCTGCCTTGAGCTTGACGGAGTCGCAGTTCACGTCTGCGTCGCTTTTTTCGCAGCGAGCGCCGTGAGCTCCTCCAGCGGAAACCTTCCTCGCCGCCTTCAGTCTCTCGCCTCCAAGCTTCACCCGAGCCAAGAGACGATGCCGACGAGGCCATGGCGGCAGAACAGCTGTACGGCAAACCTGCTGGCGCAGTTGCCAATGCGCCGCCTCCCTCCACGTTAGCCGCCCAACTGGTCGAAAACCTTCCTGCTTCGACAAAGTCCACACGATCCGATGAGAACACCGAGCTGAGAAGCTTGTCCGCCGTCATCGAGCGGGTCAAGAACAACCCCGGTCTGCTGCGAACGCCCGACGAACGAACGGAGCACAATCATATGCTCATATACGTCTATTCCCGCGTCGTCCTAGACGGGATCAAGCTCGATGATCCCTTCGCTGACAAGAAGGTTATACGGAGCGAGGCGTTGAAGGCGATTAATTTCTTGAAAGTCACGATTGAGGAGACACCGGTTGTCATGAACTATACCACGGACGGGAAACAATTCGTGTTCCGCGGGGAGGAGCCACTTTGGGTCTGGGTCTTTCCCAAGGTTCTGAAACTGCTTGGCCATGCTCGCTGCCTTGAACTCACGGCTCCAATCGAGGAGTTCTTTCGGTTCATAATCTTGGTGGTGAGTGGAGTTGGTTCAATGGGAGCGCTGCTGTCGTCCATGCTGCTCTACCTGCGAGAAACAAGCAATGGTGAGTTGCCCGTCAGAATGCGTCAACACATCATGATGACTAATAGTCACAGCTCTCCTGTCTCGCCTACAAGAGACGGCGCCTATTGCCCCTGCACAGGATGCGACTATAGACATGAGCCTTCCTCCTGCCGGTACACTCGAGCTGCTCCTGGGAAAACCTGGCATTCTCTTCGTACAGCAGACTACATACGCTGTCCCGCATGCGTCACAAGCCGTGCGCCAAGCAGCAGCTCTAATATCAACACTCGCACACCCGTCCATTGCTAGGTACTCGAGCCCTCTGTCACGCGCGCCGTTTGTCGAGCTGAGACTATGGTTGCTCGACTCGTTGCTTTCCCTACGTGCTGTGCAAAACACATGGCAGCCCGTTGCCCCAAGCGCAAAGGCTGATTTGCTCAACGTATCCCTTGGCCTGCTTCCAGACGAGTTGTCTACAGGCAAGAAAGCCTTGCTCCCGCAGAAAGCGTACACTTCTCTGGCGTTATTGTGTGCCGAGCTCGCAGCACGGCCGGATGAGATTGCAGGCCCAGATGAATCGAGTCAAGCTGCGAGGAGAACACTCTGTAAAGCACTTCTGAGACTTGCCCAAGTGTCGCTAGTAGACCGAGAGATCGGAAGACTTGCAGCACCTCAGGTTGTTTGGCCACTCGAGCTGCTCTGCATCGAAGTACCCGTACTAGGGGAACCAAGTGACTTTTCAGTACGTTGATGCTCTGCACTCTCTGACCTAGCACTGACATGCGCAGCGTTCTATCAGTGTCCTTAAACAAGCAACAGCACCAACTGTACCCTCAAAATTAGACGACGCAACCCTGCCAGCTTGCTTCACGGACACCGAATTACGAACTCTGGTCCAACGTCTTGGCATTGCAGAAAGTGACATAGAAAGCGTCACAGTCGATGACGAGCCTGCGACCAAGCGGCGAAAAGTCCTGACTGAAGGCAATGAACTTGTGGAACTGACAGCACGCATCGACGAAGTTCTTGGAGTTGTGAACGATCTAGGCAAGCTGGAACACAAAATTTTGTAAGGCGTCGTATTTCTCCGGTTCCCTTGGGGGAGACTAACTTCTCTAGAAACGCCTATCCACATATCAATGTCAAGAGCCAATGCCTCGCCATTGATCTGATCTCCCGCACTTGCTGCGCTGCGGACGCGATCACTCAAACGGGCAGCCCATTCGCAGGAAAGGACGGAAAGATCATTTGTGACGTATGCGATCGCAAAGACGAAGGGCCGAGGAGGCCCGACACTATTGACACAGAAACTAAAAGAGAGGCCCAATCGATATTCACAAAACTCATCAACCTCCCTTCCTTCAAGGACTCCAGAAGGCCAAGAGTAGTGGCAATGATCGCCCTCAGACGCATCATAAATCACACAGATGAAGCTGAGCTATTTGACCTCGAAACTTCCCCTTTGGGGCAGTGGTGTCTGCAAGGATTGCATAGCTCTATCAGAGAAATACGCATCGCTTCAGGGTATGCTTCCCCATCTTGCCCATCTTGCATGGCTAATTTTATTCGACAGACGGGCTTTGGCTCTCTTCTTGAAGAAACCAGCCTCTAGCACGATAGACATTAGTGTCGTACACCGAAATCGCAAGAACGCGCTTGGTCTTCTCAAAGCTGCGTCGGAAAAGGATGCAGTAATCTTCCACGAGACTGGGGTAATGGCGTGGAGCCAGCTGGGACGGTAGGCACCACTGACAACAGCATCGTCTTTGGGCTAAGATATTGACATCACTTAGAGTGGTCACCGGGGACGAACTAAACATAGTATTGCACCAGTTACTCGAATATCTCGGAAGCAGCAACAGTCTGATATCTTCCTGTGCCTTCAATGAGGTATGTTCTTGGTGCCAGCTTTGAGCCACCTTGACTGACGTATTCAGATCAACAACTTGGCTGCTGCTCGGCATGTAGCACCACGCCGCTTGTTCGAGCCTTTCTGGAGAAATCTCGCCTACTTCGCTGTAAAAGATATGGTGGCACGACCGCAAATCAGCCGGTCGCTGGCCGAAATCTTGCAAATCTCTGTGAACGAGTTTCTTCTCCTCATCCAAACTCATGCTCTGCCATGGCTGGTATTGATGAAGAAGAGGGATGTAATCCAAAAGATTGCTGAGGCCCGTGGGGAAAAGGACGTTGGTTTCCCGGTGATGGACTCTATCAATATCGGTCCAGTCCTCGGATTGCTTTTAGTGCAAGACGTGCCGGACGTGGCGCAATTCACCATGGCGAGGCTTGTCGAGTTTGCGCCAACTCTCGCTGATACCACGCTGGCTGATGTGATACAGGCCGAACTTGTTATGGTTGTCCTTGAGCTACTCAAAGCTGCGGCTGAAGCAGACGAAGCCCGCAAGGCCCGTGTGAGTTTTTACGCTGTGAAAATACCGCATTCTTACTGATTTATTTTGAGGTTATCGATGCCATCACCACAATGTGCAACTTGGTTATGGCCGCGAACAAGGAGAAGCCCAAGAAGGGCAATCTCATCGGTCGTTTCCTCCAGGCGTACATGCTTGGCCTTATGGCTCGCCTGGCGGACGTCATCAATGATTTTCATGGGCTATGCCTGCCTCCCGAGGAACAAATACGTTGCATTCGAGCATTGGAGGAAGCGATCAAGCTTTGCCAGTCTTACGTGCGCATTGCTCGGCCACATGTGAGTTGACGCGACCATCAGACTGGTTTCCTTTACTGATCCCTGTAGATTGCTGCTTGTCTTCTGTCGGCCATTGCTCAGGACGAGCTCAGAGAGGCGGCGTTTTCCTGCTGGGCGGTCCTTCTGACCTACCTTGAAGAAGAGGACGTTGAAGTCTTGTTGGAAACGACGTTCTTCATTATCAATCATTATTGGCCTGTGTTTGACGACAACACACGCATCAAGGCCAAACATCTGATTTCCACCATTATAAAGCACTTCAGCGCAGTAATCGAGATGTACATCTGGAAGTTGCCATCATTGGCACATATTCCTGAACTGGCTGAAGTGGAAGCTCAGCTCCAAAAAGTGCGCCGAGATCAACCCATCGAAAGCAGGACAGCATTTGCCATCTTTGCAGCCCGAGTGGCACACGAGAACTCGGGCGTTGTGCTTCAGGCTCTCAGAGAGCTTGTCGCATACCTCAAACAGCACAGTGGTTCCCTACAGACGTCCGCGATTGGTCAGCAGCCGGATCCCGTGTTGTCAACGCTGCTCCGCGCCTTGCTCGATTGCGCTTCGGAGTACAGCACTGTGCAGCCCGAAATCGCTAGCCTATGTACTCAATGCATCGGTCTGGTCGGGTGCCTTGACTCTAATAGAATTGAGGCTGTCAGAGAGCAGAAGTCCATGGTCTTATTGAACAACTTTGAGAACGCAGACGAGACGACGGACTTTGTGCTCTTCATCCTGGAGCAAATCCTGGTCAAGGCCTTCCTTTCCACGACAGACACAAAGCTCCAAGGCTTCTTGTCTTTTGCCATGCAAGAACTCCTGGACAAAGTGGATATCAAGGCAGCCTGTGCCTTCCGAAGCACGGGAATGAGAGACGGCGATCTGATCTACAGAAAATGGCTTACTCTACCTGAAGGCATTCGGGAGACTCTGACCCCATTTTTGACCTCCAAATACGTCTTAACACCTGTTACGCCTGCGCCTGTTGAGTATCCCATTTTCCGTCCGGGTAAGCCGTATGGGAATTGGATGCGTTCCTTCACCATGGATCTTTTGCGTAGAGGACAGAATTGGCACGCAGATCTCATTTTCGGGCCGCTGGCTCGTACTATTCGGGTCAAAGATGTCGCGGTAGCAGAGTTCCTGCTTCCATACTTGGTCCTCCACGTCATCATTGGCAACAGAAGCACGCGGAAAGATCGTGACAATATTATCGGCGAGCTGGTTGGCATCCTTCAGCACCAGCTTGCCGAAGATGCTCCGTACGCGGAGAGGGAGGATACGAAGCTTTACTGTGAGGTAACGAGGCAGCCCATCCCAAGCATATGTGACGATTTTGCTAAGCAGAACATAGGCCGTCTTCCGAGTGCTTGATTATGCAAGCAGGTGGCTGCAGGAAAAGAATGCTAGGCGCAAAAATGACAGCGATCTTCCGTCCATAGCAAGGGTGGATGACCTACTGAGCACAATTCCGCCGGTCTTGATTTCTCAGCGAGCTATGGACTGCAGGGAATATCCAAGAGCCCTGTTCCACCTCGAGCAACACGCCCAACAAATGGAGGTCGAGAAGAGCGACCCCCAGCAAAGAACACTGCTCCTCGAGCAATTGCAGGATATATACACCCAGATTGACGAGCCTGATGGGCTAGAGGGGATTTCGGCTCACCTCCACGTTCTCGATATCAACCAACAAATCCTCAGTCACAAGAAGGCGGGCAGATATACGGCGGCTCAGACGTGGTATGAGATCAAGTTGGCAGAAGAGCCTAACAACATTGACGTACAGGTTGACCTCCTGAACTGCCTGAAACAATCTGGACAACATGGTGAGTATCTTGCGGTACGTTCTCAAGAAGATAAGCTAAGAAGTGTAGATGTTCTGCTCAATTATGTTGAAGGTATGCATACGGAACCGTCGATGGAAAACAAAATTGTTCCGTATGCGGTCGAGGCAGCCTGGGCGACCCGCCGATGGGACACTCTATCCAAGTACACGAGCCGTTTTCATGGCAGCACTTTGGAAGACTTCAACGTTAGCGTTGGCCAGATCTTTAACACTCTGAAGCAAGAGGGCACTGAGGGAGTCGCAATCTCTCAAATGTTGCAGAGCATGAGGGAAAAGATTGCGTCAGCGATGACTTATTCCGCGACATCCTCCCTACAAGCCTGCCACGATCTGAGGCTTCGATGCCACGTACTGACCGATCTGGAAATCATTGTTGGGATGCAAGAAGGGAATGACGATGCTCGCCAAGACGTTTTGACAATGCTGAACCGACGATTGGAAGTGCTGGGTGCATATGTCAATGACAAACAATACCTCTTGGGAATTCGCAGAGCAGCCATGGAGCTCTCACGGTATGTTACCCCGATGCCCGTCAACGAGCCTCTTCTAACAATACTCAGACCCAAGTTTTGCGACTCAGACATCTCTTCGTCGTGGCTTTCCAGTGCGCGTCTGGCTAGAAAGGCGAATTCCACACACCAATCATTTAATGCAGTTCTCCATGCTTCTCAACTAAACGACAATGCCGCCGTAATTGAGAATGCCCGACTCCTTTGGAAGGACGGTCACACACGCAAGGCGATTCAGGTTCTCCAGGGCGCCATCGAATCCAACAACTTCATGACACAAACAAATAGCACCTCTTCCTTTCGGGGTCTCGACTCACAGCAGAGACTTCTGACAGCTAGAGCGCAGCTTATGCTTGCCAAGTGGTTGGATGCGGCAGGCCAAACGAACAACGCTGCTCTGCGCGTTAAATATCAACAGCCTCCCAAGACAAACTCATCGTGGGAGAAGGGCCATTACTACCTAGGACGTTACTACAAAAAGCTGCTGGAGACCGAGAAGCCTCTGAAACCAGACGAGCAAAGTGACGCCTTTGTTCAAGGCGAAATTGCCAGACTGGTTATTGAGAACTATCTTCGATCACTCAACTATGGCACCAAGTATCTTTACCAGACCTTGCCGAGAATTTTGACGTTATGGCTCGAATTGGGAGCACAAGTGGACAAGGCTCCCGAAGGCAAGGTCTCGTTGTCCCGCGAGCTCCATAGGAGGCGGACGGAGCAGCTCAATCTCCTTCATGCCTTCCTCGACAAATACATCGCTCGCCTTCCGGCCTACATATTTTACACGGCCCTCCCGCAGATCGTTGCGAGAATTGCCCACCAGAATCAAGCTGTGTTTGAACGCCTAACACGCATTGTCACCAAAGTTGTGGAGTCACATCCTCGACAAGCACTCTGGGGCTTATTTGGGATCATGACCACGAGACAAGCTTCAGAGCGGCGAGTGCGAGGTCAGCATATCTTGCAAGCGCTGAAGGGAATCTCCAAGAAGGTTGAAGGAAGCAGCTATGACCTCAAGCAGCTACTGAGAATGGGCGAGAAACTCGCAGAGCAGCTTCTGCTGGCTTGCAACAACGGGGACTTCCAGAGCAACAGGACGACGGTGGCAAGTATCACGCGAGATCTCAACTTCAACCACAAGTGCACGCCCTGCCCCCTAGTGGTCCCCATTGAGTCTTGTCTGACAGCTACATTGCCGACATTGACGGATAATGTCAAGAAGCACAAGGCATTCTCTCAGGATGTTATCACCATCGACTCCTTCCTAGATGAGGTCCTGGTTCTAGGATCGCTCGCTAAACCAAGGCGGCTAACATGTCGCGGAACGGATGGCAAGAACTACATGCTCATGATCAAACCGAAGGACGACTTGCGAACGGATCAGCGTCTAATGGAGTTCAACGGGATGATTAACCGGTCACTCAAACGTGACGCCGAGGCCAGCAGGCGTCAATTATATATCAAGACGTACGCTGTCGTGCCTCTCAACGAAGAGTGCGGCATCATTGAATGGGTCGATGGGCTTAAGACTCTTCGAGAGATCCTTTTAGACCAGTACAAGTCTCGGTCCGTCCATCCTGACTATAACCAGATCAAGAGGATGATGTCCGAGGCTGTGACGGGGCCGAATAATATCAAGATCTTCACCGAGGGCGTGTTGGGGACATTCCCGCCAGTGCTGCAGTACTGGTTCGTGCAGCGCTTCCCTCATCCCTCTACCTGGTTCTCAGCTCGGCTCAAGTACACCCGCTCTTGCGCAGTTATGTCGATGGTCGGCACCATTCTTGGTCTGGGCGACCGCCACGGCGAGAATGTCCTTCTCGAGCGCGACAACGGCGGCATTTTCCACGTCGACTTCAATTGTTTGTTCGATAAAGGACTGACGTTCGCACAACCGGAGAGGGTGCCTTTCCGTCTGACACACAACATGGTTGCTGCCATGGGCATCTACGGATACGAGGGACCCTTTCGCCACTGCAGCGAGTTGACGCTGGGTATCCTGCGGCAACAGGAGGAGACGCTGATGACGATTCTCGAGGCATTCATCTACGACCCCACATTGGATCTGCAAAAGGAGAAGAAAACAAGCCGCAGATCGGATGGCGCGCCGCGGATGCAGCCGCAGCTCGTCGTCGACAGTATCAAGCGGAAGGTGAGGGGCCTGATGGGACCGGATCCTATTCCGCTGGGAGTCGAGGGGCAAGTGGAGGAGTTGATCAAGCAGGCGGTCGATCCCAGGAACCTGGCGGCCATGTACATTGGTTGGTGTCCCTTCTTGTAGTTTGGAGTTTGGGGGGAGATTGCATGTTTATGATGTATTGGGATTGGAGGTAGACATGGGCTTCGATAAGGAAGCCGGGAAGAAGGGAGCCACCGAGATTTGGTGTTGGTGGTTTACGCAAAAGCTGTATGATATTCGATGCAAAACGAACGCAATATTAAGTAGCCTTTGTCTACCTATGCATACCTGGTACGATTCTAGCGCGATCTCGACCATTGTCTGTCAAAGAAAGAGCATCTGACGTGTCTGTTGTTTGTTTCAAAGATAAGACGGCTCGCTCGCATTCCTCCCTTCCATCGTACAACACGTGTCGAGCATACTTGATCCGGGGTCGCTAGCTGTGCCTCCCGTGTCCCGCTGGCTGCCTGGCGAGCGTTAGGCTGCTGCGCCGGGGCCCCTCAACCACTGGAGCTACGGGAAGCTTGGGGCACCTGCCTGCCTAGAATCAGGGGAGGGATAGCACCTGAATGCGCTGGAGCTCTTACCTTAAACCAACGACGACGACCCCCTTTCCTGCCAGCTTTCCCATTGAAATTTGCGACCGCTACGCTGCTGCAGCTTGCCTTCCCCGAACTTTCCCTCCTTCATTTCCCTCCTTCTCGTTTCTTTTTCTTCCCAACCCTGACTTTCTCTCTCAAACTCCCCCTTTTATTTTCAAATCACCCAAAGCATTCTCTTCCATCAACGGAACGATTGGAATCCAAAGTATTGAAGATGCCTGATTATCGTGTTGGTAGGTTCATTGTTTTATTTCCTTCGTCGCAGCGATGAAAAAAGCCACGGGCGTATGGCGGGCGACGGGCGCAGCGGTCGCGTCGGAAGCGGACGCGTCAAGCTACCTGACCTGACTGAACCTTACGTCATGAGAGCCTCAACCTTTGGAGAAGCTCTGTTTCCATATACCACCAATTGCTATTTCTTTTTTCTCTCTTCTCTTCTTCGGCGCATCACGCTTAGTAACTGCTAACCATTTTCTTTTGCGATATAGAGGTGTCGCCTAACAATCGCGCCGGATGTCAGGATGGCGTCTGCAAGAAGGAGGCCCAAAAGTGCATGAAGGGGTCGCTGCGCTTCGGCACCTGGACTGAGATCATGGGCCATGGCTCCTGGCGGTGGAAGCACTGGTAAGCCGACGATTCACTCTTCCTTGAGCGCTTCGGTCCTTGTTGTCTCTTTACCATGTCCAAGCTGGTATGGTGCTGCGGAATCTAGTCTAACAACTCATCGCACAGGGGCTGCGTGTCTGGCGAGCAGATCTCGCACCTTCGCGATATTGTCGAGAGGGGTGGCGGATACGACTTTGATGCAGTTGACGGATACGACGAGATGGGGTAAGTTCATGCGTCCTTTCATAACTCTTTTCATGAGATGGCATCCGATAATGAACATACGGCTGATTCCCCCCAGCGAGCACTCTGACCTGCAGCAGAAGATCCGTGATGCCATTAAGCAAGGCCACATCTCTGCCGAGGACTTCAACGGCGACCCTTGGATGAACAAACCCGGTCAGCGCGGCATCCGCGGCAAGAAGCCCAAGGACTGGGACGATGGCGAGGTATGCTAGCACCCCCACGCACTCATGAAATTCCACTTACTTACACATTGACAGGAGGGCGATGAGGCCAAGGACGAAGCCCCTGCCCCCGCCGCCACCAACGGCAAGAAGCGCGGTCGCAAATCCGCCGGCGCCGCCGATGAGGACGAAGAAGAGAAGCCCAAGAAGCGTGCCAAGAAGGCCGCTGCCAAGGCCGAGCCCGAGGACGAGGAGGAGAAGCCCAAGAAGGCCCCGGCGAAGCGTGGAAAGGCCGCCGCTGCTGCCAAAGCCGCTGCCGCCGAAGAAGACGAGGAAGAGGAGAAGCCCAAGAAAGCCCCGGCCAAGCGCGGCGCCCGGAAGTCTGCCGTGAAGGAGGAGTCCGACGAGGAGGAGGCCCCGAAGAAGCCTGTTGCCAAGCGTGGAGCTCGAAAGTCCGCCGTGAAGGAGGAGTCTGAGGAAGAAGAGGAGAAGCCTGCCCCCAAGCGCGGCGCCGCTGCGAAGAAGACTGCTCCCAAGAGGGCGGCTACGAAAAAGGCCAAGGTTGAGGAGTCCGAGGAGGAGTCTGAGGCCGAACCCGAGCCTACCCCTGAGTCGGAGGAGGAGGAGGAGAAGCCTGCGCCGAAGAAGGCCGCTCCCAAGGGCCGCAAGAAGGCTGCTGCTGCACCTGCTGCTGCCGCCGAGGACAAGCCCAAGCGCGGTCGTGCTCGCAAGTGAGGTTTGTCGAGCTGGCATGCCTACGGAGACCGTCACAGGTCGGCGACTGTGATCCCCGAGCAGCGTTTCGCTACTGCCGTTTGTTTGATGAGTTCCTTGCGTTTCAATGGCCGGGAGAAACCTCCTCCACCGGAACTGAAACCGCCGCTCTCTCAGCAGCCGTTTGTTTCTTCGAGTTCATACCCACCGATGCAACGACACTACTTTCAGCTATGATGGACCTTTGGGAGGAAAAGATGTACAACCACTGCTTGCTTCTACTGTTTATTTGTTTACCTGGATGAGAGCAACTCATGAAAAGAAGATAACAAAAAGTTTGTTTTGTTTCTTTATAGGAAAGGCTGAAGTATTCTAGCCGCTGAGCTCAAGATAATGAAAGTTTTCCACTCCCATATCTGGTGTCATTCTTAGTTTGTTATCAAGAATGTGAGACTTATTTAGCGTTGCGAAGACTACGTGACAAGTGTTTAGAATGCTGCAGTTTCTGAGGTAGAGAAAACCTGACTAGGCAGACAGTAGATAGATCCCAAGCCCGAAGACGTTATCGGCCATGGCGAAGTATACTACCTTGGGCAGCTTAAAACAAGCAAGAAGAATGAAAAAGACCCTGGGATGAAGACAAGAAGTGAAGGAAGGAGTGAAAGCAAAAGAAACAATCAGACAAAAAGCTCAAGCGCGGGATTCGAAACCGCAGACCCTACGAAACCATTTTATAGGATTTCATACCAAGTTCAAACTAACGACTTAGAGCGTTATACCTCTGGGCCACTTGGCCCTTCATCAGGCTTGGTTGAAGGCAGCGAGGCTGAGAGCTTGATAAGAAGGACGGGTGGCCGGTGGAAGGAAGGAGGGCACGCACATAGTGCGGGATATGAGTGCGGAAGGAGCAGGTGTGAAAGGGAGGAAGGAAGGAAGGAAGCTAGGTGGGAAGGACCATTCCTAGGTCGAGCCCGGACCTTATCTTCTCTCCATGGGAGTGAGACAGCTATTAGTTTCACATGTTACTGCCGCATGCCAAACCTCTTTTCCATTTTCTTTGAACACAAGACAAGATCAACCATGTATAGGGCAAGCATTTCACAATCATTCGCGAATGACATGCCGCTACGTGTATCGCTATCCCAACCACGGAGAAACCTCTCAGGCATATCCTCCTAAGATAGCTATAGATATCACCCATGGATACAGATATCTCTCGCCGTTGTCGTTGCTTCTGCTTGAGCGAAGTCAAGCTCTTGCCTCACTCACACGGCTCTTTAAAACCAGGTGTTTTGTTTTTCAAAAATCCCCATATAGTACGAACCAAGAACTGAGAATACCCCAGCCATATCATACGCCTGCGTGTTCTTGAATGGCTACTTGTCTGTGGGTGGTGCTATCAGACAGTTTACGGGGCTTACGTCGGGACAAAAATGTACCTTGGACTGCCGACGGCTATATGTGACATGATGACGGTCTGGTTATGGGAACAGCTTTCGGGTCATGTCAAATCGGATACTGGACTTGGTCCAGATTGAGTCATCCTCGGTGGCACAAGCTTGAAGCAGTTGTTCATCAGCTATTGATTGCATGGGCGATACACCTACTCATAGGTCAAACTTTCACACTGGCAAGTGTTAATTGTCACTTGCGTCGACAAAACTCGTTTAATACCCAGCACTTGGGTCAGCCACATTTTAAATCACGAAAGGCAAGCAGGCATTTGTGTCATAAATCGTTATTGATCCTAATACAATCTAACTCCGCCCTATTCTCCGCCGCTATGTAGTGTTCGTAAATCGTTACACATGTGCCGGGCAGAAAAGCCAGTAAATGGGTAAAATGAGAAAAGAAGACACACAGCCCCCCGAGGCAGATCCGTTCTCTAATGCCAGTACGTCACGTCCCGAAATGACATGTTCTGTAGTCCGAATCCGTTGTAGAGCGCCTTACCGCCCGCTGATCTCACACCTTGGATAGGTGCCAGGGCAACCGCATTTATATATCCGTAAATCATCATGTGCTGCACGTTTACCACCGTCTGGGACGTTCTCTTGCGCTGTCGTAAACAACCTCGCGCTCGTAGACCCGCTCATCGTCGTATTTGCTAGGCAGGCGGTGGTGGTGGTGATGTCCGTGGCGGCGGTCCCAGTCGTCGCGCCACTCCTTTTCATACTCAATCTCGCGAACACGGTGCTTGCGGAATTGGCGGATTTCATCCGAGACCTTGACCAGCTCCAAAACGTCGTCCTGTGGATGATTAGCGACAGCTATGAACTAGGTGGGAGACAAAGCTTACGTATTTCAAATATTGCATAATGTAGAAGAAATATTCAGTCTCCTCAAAGTCGTAGCCCAACTCGATGATGGCGTCTCGAATGACAAGGTCCTTGGTGATCTCGGTCCACATCTCATTACGCTTCTTGGGAGGCGCACGACGCTCCTTGGTCTTCTCGATGTCAATCTCAGTCTCGCGGTCGTAAACCTGGACACTGAGACGATCACGAGAGTCTCTGGGCGAGGGCAAGGCGGGGGCCGGAGCCGGGACGGGAGTAGGGGCACCATCGCGTTCAGGAACGAACTTGGCCCGCCTCACTCCGTTGTAGCGCTGCCAGGTCACCTCGGCAGAGCCGCCGCCGACGCCGTCCATCTGCACGCGCTCAGTTCCGGGAGGCACGTCCACGATGGTCCAATCCTTCGTGGCACCGCCCCAGGCCTCGCCCATCTTGCCCCGTTGGTCAATCTTGGAGGTGATGTACTCAGCCTCCTCCTCAACGGGGGTGCGGGCAGCAGCAGAATGAGCCCTACGGCGGGAGCCAAAGTACTGGCGGTCATCAATACGCAGGCGGTCGGTGCTCATGACAAGGTCTCTGCTGTCCTTGAAGGCGGGTGACCGGCGCTCTCTACTGGGAGAGCGGTGACGGCTTGTTGATCGGTGAATGTCGATGTCGGTCCTGTTGCGGGAGGTCGTGATGTCGATGTCCAGTTCCCGGTCTTCGGTCCGGGTCATAGGTCGAGGTGCGGGGCGGGGAGGAGGGGGAGGGCTAGGGACCCGAGTGACACCTGGCCCAAGTCAGATATTTGATTCATACCAATTTTTGTGAATGTTGTCTGGTGCTTACCATGGTCAATATCGCGGTAGTGAGTAATGACTTCTCTCTCAATCGTCGGTCCACGAATGACCTGAGGAGGGGCAGGTGCAGGTGGAGGCGAGGGCGAAGGAGACGGGATCCGCTCTCTTTCCTTTTCCACGATGCGCACACCAACACGGCTGCGTTCTCTGGCCGGAGGTGGAGGAGATGGCGAGCGTTGTCGCTCAACGTAACGAGCGCGGATCAGCTCGGGAGGAGGGCCGCGAGAAGGGCTGCGAACCTCCCGTTCGCGCTCAGAGATGCGGACTCTTGACCGCTCAAGCTCTTGGTCGTGGTGGTGATGGTGCGGGGGAGACGAGCTGCGAGCCCTACGAATGACACGCTCGCGGTAAACAGGGCTCGGACTGCGCTGGCGAGGCCTTGAGAGCTCTCTCGACTCAACCTCGCGGCGGCTCAAAACCATGGCACCAGCCTCGGGAGCGCGCTCTTCACGCAAGAAGCGGAGGCGGTCGCCCTCGCGCTCACGAGGCCTGTCGCGGACTTCGACGTCATTGAATGCGACTCGGCTCGAGGAATCCCTCTCGCGGCGGGGCTCGTAAAAACGGTCTTCGAACTCGTTGGACCGGTAAGCCATTTTTGCAGGAAGAAAAACGATAAGCGTTTATCGTTTCGGGAAGCTGCAGCAAAGGCGTTTGTGGTTGTTTGTTGGGGGAGTTTGTCTGAACAGGTGGGATGAATGGCGGGGTAGTAAGCCGTTTGGCGGTCGTGTAGCGCAGAGGGTAGCGTGAGGGTCGGCAACACTAAGGTGACCAGACACGGGTATCTTGCGCAACAAATGAAGTGGCCCGGGAAATGGGTTAGAAAAGAGCCAGACTTCCCTCGCGGCGCAGAGGAGTGAGCGGCAAGACGGAAGTGTAGGGAGGATGGGACTTTAATCAGAGGGCCGAGCTAGAGCTTAGCCGGCTAAGAGTGAGAAGAGGGGGTGAAGAGAAGAAGAGTGAGTGAGAGGAAGAGGGAAGAGAAGAGTCAGAGTGGGAGTAACGTCGTCATACCACAGCAGCAGACGCTGGGTATGTATGTAAGTGCGTATGTAGGTAGGTGGTATGTAATAAAGGCAACCGACAGGTGATATAGACCGGCAGGAGAAGCAGGCTGCGTGTGCCGTCCGTTCGTGGGGGACTTGGGACTTGGGACTTGGGCTGGAGGGTGGATGATGGAGGGGGCCGTGGATGTGGATGTGGACGTGAACCAGGGCTGGGACTGGGACCAGGACTGGGAGGGACGGACTGGCGGGAGGGAGTGAGTGAGTGAGTGAGGGAGTGGTGTTGAGTGGTGGTGAGGTGGGCGGGAACAGGAAGAAGAGGGCAGTGATGGAAATGGGAGGGGCTGGCCGGGTTTGCGCGATGCAGCGGCCTGGCTTGCGGGCTTGTTAGGTTGCTGGATGCTGGCTCGTAGGTTCTGTCCACTTCTTCCAACTGTGGGCGTGCGCCGCGCGGTGAACCGCTGTCCGCTGTCACTGAGCAGGGGTGTTCCCGACGTTTTGTCTATGTTGCTGCGGGTAGCGGGACGGTAGGGATGTCGTCGCAAAGCCGATCGAGGGTGTGGTGTTGAGGCCCCGGATTTTGGGCCGCGTTGTGCTCTTTGGATGAGTGAGTGCCGAGGGGCGAGGAGGCACGATGGACTCTCGAGTGATTCAACAGTTTGCACCTTACGGATAGGTCTGTGTTCGTTTGGGTTTGGGTTCGTTGGACGGGAAGGAAGCCCTACGGGCGGATCTGCTGCACCGAAGGCTGCCTGCCCAGTCAGATGAAGCAAGAACGAGGACAGGCGGACGGCAGAAGGCTCCAGCAATCTGGAACTAGGAGTCAATGATGCAGGCTGTGGCGGGTTGGGCCAAACAAAAGCAACGAAGTTTAAGCAAGGTTGCACTTGGGAGCAGCAGAGGCAGAGTGAGGTTGCTGCTGCGGTGGATGACGGGCAGAGCGAGAGAAGCCGAGAGGACGATGGGCACCACGACGGCGGTAGGCAGCGGAAAGGCGCAGAAGATGCAGAGAAGACTTGAGGCAATCTCGTCGATTCACCTCATCATCCACTTGGATGCATTCGAGGCATCCACTTGGGCACTGGCGGCGGTGCAGGCTGAGTGCTTGTTCGCCTCTTGGGCCCTGACGAAGGTCCGTTGCGCAACAGGCAAATGGGCGCTGCTGCTCTCACCGATCTCCCGGCTGCCCAATGAACAGGGTCCTGACTTGTGACTTGCAGGTCTAGACGCTGCGGCAGCAGGCAGGGCGCAAATAGAAAGGAAAGGCCAGTCCGAGGTCCAGCTCGAGTTTCCACCAGCTGTTGGCGGCTCGAATTCAGGATTCTGAATGGACGAGGGAAGATGTTTGGTACTTGTGATGACACACGACAGGCAGACGACAAAAGCATGCAGCAGACAGCATACGGCATACTGCATATGACATATGGATATCCAAGTAAAATGCCTTAGATGGGTATTGAAGTTCTACTGCGTGCTCGTTGTCAACTTCCACGTCTCTCAACAGCCTGTCCGACTGCTTCCACCAGCGTTCCATCTTACATCTTCAATGCCACCCCAGGTTTGGGACAATGGAGCCTCGTGTCCCTGAAAAAGAGCTCGTCTTGCGTGCTGCCCGGCGCATGAAGCTGGTTCACCTGCGCGAAAGACCTGATTTAGATCCTTAGTCCTTATTGTGCTGTTGCTATTACTGGGAAGCCGATGAAACAGGGGGGGCAGTGAGGGAGGGACGGGGAGGGGAGTCGAGTCCAGCGTCCAGGTCGTGAGTGTGGTCCGCCCTGCCCGTCCTGCCCTGCCGTCCTAATTGTGGAAGTGGAAAGGAAAGAGCGGGAAGAAGCTAAGACGATTGGAAAAGTGGATCCAGTTCGCTGTGTCTGTGTGAGGTGAGGTCGTGGTTTCCAACTTTTTTTTTCTTCCCTCTCACTTTCTCATCACATGGAAGGAAGGCAGGCAGCCCGGAGCTCCCTCCTTCCTTCCTTCTGTGTCTCTCCACTGTCGCTTGCTCACCTCGGTGCTCTAGTCTTGCGCTAAGGAAGTGACCACCTGCCTGCTGCTCTGCCTTCCCCTCCCCCTCCCCCTCCTGCCCCTCCACGTCCACTCACAGCTCCTCGCCCAGCCTCCCCGTTGTCAACTTCTGCTCCGGCCCATCACCAAAAAAACACTGACGCAATTCTGCATCCACACCAACCAGCGTCTCCCGCTCGCAAGTCGCCTTTCCATCGTCTCTCGCCCATGCCCCTCCACTCTGCCCACTTTCGTCGCTCCCTTCCACACGCCAAGGCAGCTTTGGGACAGCACCAGAGACACTAGAAATCCAGCGACATGTTGCGAGTAAGTTGGCATATTAAGGTACCTGTCTTCAGTGCTTCACACCTTACCTGCCGCTTCGGCCAATTCCACTCTTCAAACCCAATTCAGGAATCCTGACAACTGCCGGGGATGCTCCCTGGATAGACTCTTTACCTTGATCCCGGCCCCGGTTTCCCTGTTCTAAACAGAAGCTTTCCATCATTAAGTCGCATTCCACGTCTCTCCGGACCAGCTTGGAGCTGCGCAGTATTGCACCTCACCCAACATGCGCAACTTCGGCGACAAGTGAACCAACATTTTACCGACATCGAGAGAGACCTGCCGAGAGTCTCTTTGTTCGCGCCGCTTGCTGCCAGACACTCCGCAGTTGGGTTCTGTCTTCACCGATCGGACCAGGATATCGTGGTTCCCGCTCCAGCCTGATCGCCAGGACCGGCCCAGCTGTCAACGAGCCCGACGGTCTGAACCGAAGACAAGCTCCTTCGTCCGCACATCACACGCCCATCTTGCCGCTTCCCATCTGTTTTCTCGACCCTCCATTTCCCTCGTCTATCGCCCCAACCCATGATGGACCAGGAGGTGCCCGCGAACCCACTGCTGATTGGGCTGAGCCGACATCCTGGGGGACCCTGAGCAGAGTCAGGACATCATCCGGCTCGTTCACGAGTTCCTCCCGCAGGTGGTGACCTCCCACACCATCATGAGACACAGCCCGGCTGTCACTATTTGAGAATGCCATGTCTGCCTCTACGACACAGTTGCCTTTTACGTTTCTTCATTGGCCAGCTGCAGGAAAGCTCCATACAATCACCCTGGTCACCGTCCACCACACCAACAGGCCCCCAATGTCAGAAATGGCCCGCTTCGTCAGCCGTAGCTCGGCGTCGCCTTGTCGCCGTACACGCAATGGGGAAATCGATACAGGCCTCTGGTCAGAAGAGCATGAGCAACGCTTCTGGAACAGACCAGCCCTACGTCTTTCTAGCGCTCGGTAGGCGCGGGAACTTCCCCTTTTCTCGACCCATGCCCCTGGGCTGAAGTCAACTTCGTGATGGGCGGGTAGCTGAAACTAACAGGCTCCAAAGCCGCGGAACCCCAGGAGCCTTGGTTCAGGAACGCAACACCATCGCCGCAATCAATCTACGCGAAGCGTTGGTGGTGACGGGCGAGCCGGTGCTACCTTGACATCGAACGAGTCTTTCCGTCAAGGGTTCGCCTTCACTCACTTTACCACCGGGGGAAACAGCCGATCAAGGACTTTGTTCATTGCGGTCATTATTCGTACTTCGTTCGGTGCAGCTCACGGCCTTACTACCTTTCCTCATGCACCTCCCTCCAGCCCCCAATGCTCCTCCTCGCACCGTTCTGCCCTGTCGCATCCATCTCTCCTAAGTGTCCTTCTCCGACAAGCTCGTACACTTCGCCTACATCCAGTTCTTGTGGCGGTTGTGTGGCGTCGGCCTCCAGTATCTGCGTTCCGAGCTTCTCTGTCGGATTCTCTGGGCTCCCGTACTCCGTATACGGCCCCACTCCGCCGGATCCTTGGAGGCTATTCCCGGGAGACGTGTGTCCGTTAGCAGCCTCGATTTCCTTCAGGCGCGCTTCTTTCAAGGCCCTTTGCTGCCGTCTTTTCCGGACACAAAACAGAGCCACCACTGCCGCAAAGCCAATAACTCCCACAGTGACTCCAACTCCGATGCCAGCTTTCGCTCCAGTGGACAAGACTGCCGGCTTGGCGGATGCGCTCGATGCTGTCGACGTCCCGTTCGGATCATTCTCGGCCGTCTTCGTCGCGTTGAAGCTGGGAACTACGCTGGCTTGTGTCCAGAGGCCGTCAGTGCCGTGGTAAAGCTGTGCCCAGCTGCCGTTTGAGCGGTACCAAAGCCATACTTCATTCGTGTCGAAGTTGTTCGTCACTGTCAACGCGCCTCCGGCATCGTCAGCCACCGGCCAAAGCCGTTCATCTTGCTCTGACATCATCGTCCATGCCCCGTTGACGTTTGAAATTTGATGAAGTTTGGAATCGGTTCCGAGGTAAAATAGACTCCTCACGTACGATCCGTCGACGGAGGCGACCAAATGCGTCAAGTTTGTCGGCCAGGCCGTCAACGTGAGGTTGGGCGTGAGAGACGAGTCAACGACGATGTCGGCTGTGTCGGTGTTATTCGTCAGCGTGTCGTTGGTGAGAGTCCGAGGCAACGTGGCTTTGGGCATGTTAGCACTTCGCTGCGAACAGAACGGGTACGATAAGACGGACCGAGATGCCAAGTTTCATCCTTGAAGTATCTCGAGATTTCGAGGGTTTCAGCGTCTTTGGGAAAGACGACAGACATGTTCAGCTGGCCCGAGTGCGTTGAGGTCAGCACCGTCGAATTCGCTTGGTCTTGAGAAATCCGGCCCTTCCATCGCCAGTCGTCCTTGACCGTGTATGCCATGACATTAACCCTTCTGTCCTCATCATGGAAGAATACGCGATATCCGTTTTCCGACCCCAGCAGCTCGACCGCGAGACCTGTCTCGTCATGGATGGATTTCACATTCGCCGTAGACGAGATGGTGTATTCTCCCTTCTTGTCGTAGAGGCCTGTCGACATGTCGCACTCAAAGTAACCGTTGACGATCGACCCGTCCTCTGTCTGGTAGAAAATCGATGCCTGTTGCGACGCGTCAGTAAGTAGCAGCATATGGTCGGACGCCGCTCAAACAAACCATTGTCAGCAACTGTGCCGTATCATACCATCCCGCTCCCGCGAGGGCTGAACCGTTCCGAGGAGTTTTCTGCAAGTCGAACGCATTCTTTCCGTCCGTGGGGAATATGGGTGTGGAGTTACTATTGCACGCGCTATGGAGGATTTTGAGCGTTGTAGGATCTTGCATCGCAATCTGAGGGCTCAGCTCCGTCCACCACGACATGAGACACGTTGCCGGAGAGAAAAGCATCGCCCCCAGGACGATCTTCAAGACCGGCCGCGCCATGCCGGCGTTGGTTAATACGCAGCGGAAACGACAGAACACCCCGCAGCCGGGCGATGCTTGATTCACAGTCGAGATAGCGTGGCAGTCTGCTGCGGAGTACTCGGAGATTCCATTCAGTCAGACCTAGTAGTTGACCGACGTTCAACGAACACGAAGAGAATGGAAGATGAAGGACGAGATCGCGATCCGGGGGGGAGACCGGGTTTATCAATCTCCCTACAGGGATGTTGAACTGACGGTATTCAAGGGTCTAGACACCGAATGCTCATCTCCATACCCTCCGAGACCCAAGGCGGAAAGCTCACCCGCCTGCTCGACCTGCAGCAGCACTACTGCGGGCTAGCCCTAGGCTGTGGCCCAGAAGGCGAAGCATTCGCTCGCCCGCACCTAACGAGCATCCTTGCAACTGACTTGACCTCTTCAACGTCTCGTCTTTGTCAATCCCAGCTGGCGGACATCTACTTGATAGCCCCCAAATGTAAGCGTAAGACGACCATCGAGTGTCTGCCCGTTGCAACCCCCGGCGCGTCTGCGCTCAGCTCGTTGGACCAGCAAATGGTGGCAATCAGGGGGGGTCTCGAAGGCAAGGCTCGGCATTGGCTGCGATTAATCACGGTAGTGCAGTAGCGAAGTAGCTGATGTAACCAGCCTTGGGGGGCCTGTTTGATTACTCAAGTCAGGGCTGGAAGGATTCGTATGGGCACAAAACCTGCGAAGCCTGGGTGGTTTATCCACATCCGATTTGTGGCTGTGGTAAGTCACGGTCTTTTTGTAATAAGAGATCTGGACAAGATCTTCATCAATCTCGGTCCCGAGGTTTTTGATATCTACGGCACTCGAGAGGAAAGGATCAACTGGCTCTTCGCCGACATCCCTGTCAGAAGCGGGGGGCTAAGCTCAGTAAGCAACCATGAACCAACCCACGGACAGGTGGTTTCCCGGTCGAGATTTTTGCGGGTTACGGTTGCAACGCAGTGCTTCAGCAGACCTCGACGGGGACGAATGCAGTGAAAAGAAGCGAGATAGGGCCCATTCTAGGCCCTCCCGCCCGCCGCTCCCTGGCTCTCGTATCCCATGTTCCATCGGCGTTGCTCCATTGTTGATCGCGAGAGGTTGGGGGAGATTGGAGATTTAAATGCAACTCCGGCTCGGACTTTTGTCATCTTTTAGTATCCACGAGTGTGTCGTGAAGACAAGCATTCAGGGTGAGATGCTGTTGGGTTGGCGATGGCCCGACAGCCCGGTAAATGAATGGCACTGCTGCTGCGCTTTCATGGGATTTGATGCAATCACGGGAGCTGTCAGGAAACCTGATCCTGCAACAATTCTGGTATGGATGGAGGTACACCGTTTTTGAGGATTTAAGAGGAAAGACGCTTGCTTTCCTGGATCACGTCCCAAACTCCCGCGTGCCGTTCATTGGCCCTTTTACGCCTCTCCTTGCCACGATGACAGAAGAAAGAAATATCATTCACCCTCCAAGACAACTGTTAAAACCGACGACAAGGTGGTCAAACTCATCGAGGAAGTCCACACAATCGCCCCCCTCGTCGGCGACAGACTGGACGGGCATCTCGTCTGGAATAAACGGGCCACCTTGTGGTTCGGGGGTTTCTTTGCGAAAGGCGGGAAAAGAGGAATAAGTGAATGACCGCACTGACGGTTTCGCAAGTTTTAAACACATTCTGAGAAAGATAGCTGGAAAGTTCACACCGTTGGTTGCAAGCGCCCTCTACATTTTTCAAATACGAGGACTTGAAATATAAACGAACACAGCCAGTCTTCATCAACATTAGAAATTTGCTTCGGGTGGGTACTTTGTCGAGTGTCTAGAACTTGGAGCTCTTACAGCTTCTCAACCATGGCATCGACTTTTTCGTTCTGTTTACTTTCCTCCGATCAAGTAGCATACGACTCCGTGGAAAAGGAAAGGAAAGATGTTCCCGCTTTGGTATATGAGAAGTCAACATTGGAAGTGCGGGCGTATCGTGTCATGCAGAAAGGGTAGAAGCCACGGACAGCTCATATTCGGCACCTGTACAACACCATAGCAAAGATGCGCCAAACCCCCCTTCAAAAACGACGAGACAAAAGTCACAGTAGTTATGGAAGCCAATACCAGCGCAGCGTCGCAAACAAGCATCATGGGCTCCCTGTCCCATCACTCCAAGAGAGAGAAGCCCGGTCTGAAGCTGATTCGAGAACTGTAGGTGCTGTAATAGGCTACTTAGCAAGCGTACCTCGACGAGTAAAGTAGGCCAAGAGCAAACACCGAAATGCCACACCACGGCTTCCAGTGTAGCAGTCCGATCAATTCGGGATTTCAGTCGGGTGAGTGGATGGATAACCCTGTTTTATGAAAATGGGGGCTTCAAGGAGCAAGTTCCAGACCGGCCGGTCAATTGGACGGAAGCCCAACCTCAAAGGGGAAGGACGCAGCAACATCCTGGTGCTTGCTTACTACAGTCCGAAGTTCAGCTCTTTGTAAGGCTAGGATAAGTGCTAAGCTTATGGCGTGTAGCTTAGCATGCATGTCTAAAGCGACGTCGTGGTTCATCGGAGTCGGAGTCTAATGGTAATGCATTTCGCAGGTTCCCCTTACTAGTCATCCCGACAATTCTCGCTGTTCAAGCTCGTTTCTGGTGCAGAGCCTGAGCTGTGGCTGCTTTGGCCGGAGGAGAGGTGATGGAAGGTGAGCTGGGTGAGCCACATGCTTGGCATGATTCCAATTCCAGAATTCCTGCTCATGCCGCTTTATACAGAGGCTGACGCAGATAGAAGCACTGTCCTAGCCTACCATGCTCCTACATGCTGGCCTTAGATATGTTGCATTGCTTGCCACCAGTGCTTTGTCCTACTTCCTAGGCTGGTGGCTTTAACGACGAACGTACTACGCGGCCATATGGGAGAGAGTACCTTTTCCGGTTTCACAGCTATTGATTATCTTGAGGTTTAAGGTAGTCTTTCCCGGAAAACGGACAATGTATTTATCCAACCCTGGTGTCTGCCTACCTAGAAGGGCAACGGGTTGAGTGTCTTGAATACTCCAACCACTTCACAAATAGACTTATCGGCCTCTCGACATGGCATCATCGTTCGGCCCGCCTGCTCTCGAACTTATTACTTTACCATCATGAAGAAACGTCGCCTGAACATGTAGGGCAGTCCTAGCCCGGTTCTCTCCTGCTGTGTGTCTTCCCTCCTCAGAACCCCCCTAACTCAAAGCGGCATACCTGGTTACGACGTACCCACAGTGTATTGCCCTGGTCGGCGTCCTGTCACTGTGTTGAGGCTATAATAGGTACTTCTTTCACAGCTGTCTGTCAAGTTGGTGCCACGAAAACTGGTGAATCAGTCCGTTTCCTCTTCATCGGCTGCTTGGCTGTCTTGAAAATATTAAGGGGCTTCTTTCCTTGACTCATTTTACTCTCCTCCTTCGAGCTGCGACTGGTTGGCAGTTGAAAGCCGACGGTACGGCCGGGTTCGATGGACGTGGAGGCAGACTCGGGCGCGGCAGCCGTGGCGGTCACCTTAGTTTGTGCTTGCGCCCTTGCGATCTGTGCTTGGATCAAGTCTTCCTCCCTCATCTGATCGGCCGCCTCAGCCTGGTCTCTCTTCCTCGAGTCCGCCGCTCGGCGAAGGGCTTCCGGCGAACGGTCGATCCAGGCGATGAACAGCCCATCGTCCTTCTCCTCGACGCGACAGAGCCCTTCGCGGCCGAGAAACTTGACGAAGTCGGTGAGCGAATGCCAACGCGTTGCGTTAAGATGAGTGTGATGCTTGTTGGCGATGTAGGTCTGGTAAAAGCGATTCGAATGCACGCTTTTCTCTCGGTGGCTTGTCCGCAACTGATCGAGGAACTCGGCCTGAAACTGTTGCGAGATGTTGTTGATAGTCTCGTTCACGTTGCCGATGTTCTGTATTCGACGAAAGTGGGACTCGGAGAGAGTGTGCTGTTTGAAAGCATTCTCGTTCCGACACTGTTTGTCGCAGGGTGTACAGTACCATCGCAGGCGGCCAAGGCCCACCATCTTCATTTTCTTATCCACATGGCGCGCGGAGCCTGGATCGTGTGGCATTTTGGCTGTAAGTCAAGTGAGGCTGCGACCAGCACTTGACCGACATGTATTGAGGGAATGTTGATAGGGGTGTGAGAGGTTAGGTAGGGAATCAGAAGCTCAGACACCGTCGGGAATGACGACCTACCACAAAGCACCGATTGGCTCGCTTAACAAGCCAATAGGAGACCAGGGATCGAAACTGAGGCCGTTGCGGTGGGACTTGACTCCTTCAACCTACCTTGCGAAAACCAGAGAAAACGAGAGGGCTGAGCATGTCGAAAGAATGCACTTTTGAAAGCTCATGCATGTTTAAGACAATGTCGCGTCCGGGCTGGAGTCTAATAGAAATGCATTTCATAAGTTTCCCTAGGTAATCAAAGACCGAACCCCGACACGCCCGTTAAAACAACACCTGTTGCTCCCCAATGTTTTTTCCTGCATTAACACCCCGCTTTCTCTGCTCTATCATGTCGTACTGCTCATTACTCGAGGCCTCTCTTGACGTCCTTGGCTTTGAGGCCACTGAGTTTCCTCTCGGGCTTGTGGTGAGAGGGTCTGCCGGAGAGCATGTTAACCACCTCCATCATGTGCGCCCAGTGAGCGTCCTTGGGACGGCGGTTCTTCCAATCCGTGTCGTGGTCCTCGAGATCGAGGACCGGGGTGAAGATGACGCTGGCACCCTTGATTCCAATGACAGAGGCGCTCATGGGATCCCTCTTGCACCTGTTATGAGACTTGGGCCGGAACTCCTCGAGATGCTGCATGCACTTGATGGCCAATCTGACGGCGCGGCATCTGTCCATCGGCGACGGGACTCCTCCCTGCTGGACGTGTCCGGGGATGCTGTCGCGGGACTCAAATCTTCCGCGCGCTTCCTTGCGGATGATGTCGGCGATGAGCTTGGCGTTGAAGACATCGTCGGCCTTCTCGTTGATAAGG